AGTCTAATCCTCATAAAAGTAATCCTTATATTGTTAGGGAGATAATTTAGCTAGCTAACTAAACTTTTTTTTTTTTTAAAAAAACCAACCCCAAAACACCCTCTTGTTTGGTGTTCTTTGATTCCTTTTCTGTGCAAAAAGTTCCCCTCAGTCACTGAAAAAAATTGGCAGAGTAAAGAGGGCAAGATGAGATCTTGTGTTTCACAGATTTGTAAATATAAGAATCTTCTGATCTAGGGAAAATAAACTGCTAATATTGCAAATAACTCATTCTTGTCTGGGATCTACGCTGAATCAAATACTAAAGAACAAAAAATGAATTTATTAAGCTTCTCTTTTCCATTGACTTATTTCATGGATCACTCAATGTAGAAAATTTCTTGGTGTTTTCACATACTTCACAGAGCACCTTTTAAGTAGAAGACCATAATTCTTCATAGACTTTTATTAGTAATAAATTTAATTAAGGGGAAAAAACAATCACATTAGATTAATTTAACATTTAATTGAAAACCTGAGGGTTTTTTTCTTGCTTTCAAGCTGTTTTTAATCACCTGTATTTGAGTAACAGAAAGTTCTTCCAGATCATGCCTACCTAACAATTCCTTTTCTGTTAATTGTAGATTATGGAGGACTACAATTTGTTATAGTAAAAGCTGAAATATGATTTTTTTCCTGTTTGAGACATGTACTATTTCTGATATAGCTCATGAAGAAACAGAATTAGCCTAGCAATCCTTCATCTTAAATGAATATTAAACTTGATTGCATGATAAAAATCATGTCTTCTAAAAATAAAGCAAATATTTTTGCAATTTAGAGATAATTCTGGAGCACTGAGGTATGAAGCAGAGAGGTTTATTGGTACATGAAATCCTCGTCTAGTTCGTTAGAGGTAAATGGAAATGTCATACAAAAATGTTGTTGTGCAAATAACGTGTACACACAAGTCATGACTCGATGTCGTTAGATGTGGAATCTGCATTTTTTTAACCCTTAATAGTTAATTAAGCATAAGTATTCCAAAAGCAGTTAGCACATTTGTTGAGTCAGATATCAAATGGCATCAATGAACTCTTATGTACTCTAAGTCTAAAGATCATTACGAAGACTATGATTCCTCTGTTCTGTTAGGCTTGCTTGGATTTTATCTGTACATCCGCGTGTGAGCCCTTTCTCTCACTTTTTTTTGGAAGTCTTGAGATACAGACCTACATCTCAGGTTGCATAAACAGCCCATTTGGTTTCAGGATTTCCAGCTGATTCTTGTCTAACCTATCAGCTGTGCTGAAGGTCACTAAAATTCATACCTTTTGTATGTTATGAGAAGGGCAGAACTTGGCAGAGCAGCAGTTTGTCATTTCTGTTAAGTGGGGAAGATTTCTTCTTGGCTGAGACCCAGGCTATACTGGGTTTCTTCTGCATCTACTTTGCCCCTATAGGTTAGAAACCAGTAAAAAACACTACCCTGCCAACCTCCTGCCCCAGCTCCAAGCCCCCAAAACTCAAACCTTCCCTACAATACTGATCGACCAGGACAAGCAACTGTGTGACAAAAGTCACAACGTATATCTACTAGACCTTAACACATGCCTTTGATGTCTTTGGGTGCAGTTGGAGACAGAGAAGAAAAAGACCACCTTTTACTCTGAGGAGGCCTGGGAAGAAACAATGGACTCTTTGACTAATAATAGAAAAGACTCTTTTTCTACTGTCTTTATACTGATTCTAGCTCCACCAGAGCGCTTTCACAGTGAGATTAGAGTACCTGCATGCAATTTGTTAGCCAGTATTTAGCAAGTAATTTAGCAAGACTCAAAAGTGATTATACACAAACACAGGGAAAAAATAGAGGCAAACACAACACCCACAGTAAGACAGTAGGTAAAGGAATGACAGAACAGCATTGAGAAGAAATGTGTGGTATCCAACTGAGTTTGGGATTAAAATCAAACACAGATTGGTACTTTCTTTCTATTTGAGATATAGCGTGACTGAAGTCATGTCTCTGATCAAGCTGCTACCTCTGAGTGCTAAAAGCTTTCTTGTTGCTTGGTAGAGTCAACTGAAAAACAGACCTGTGGTCATAGGCATCTTTCACCTGGCATCTTAATCACCTAATTTAATTTCATTCTATTTCAATTTGATGAAAATATTTTGTAGCTTCTGTAGTTGCTGTAATTTTTTTCTGTTGTAGAAATCTAAATGACAGTATCATGAGTGGTACTTTAGATGAGTTTTTCTGTATCCAAGCAAGTCATCAAGAGTACTAAGTAGGACTGCGAAACCAAAAAAAACCCGTAACTCATGGTTCAGAAACTGTACCAAGATATAGAACATAATTCTTAAAAGGTTTATACAAGTTAACTAAAACTATAGTGATCTCATTTTTCAATAAGACTATTTTTTTGTATTATGTGTGCTTTGGTGAATGGAAACATTGTAGCAGGGTTCTATCTGAAATTCAAGAACCATTGCTTCTCCTGAAGTTCCTACCTCTTCTTTCTTCCAAACTGCTAATCTCTGTTTAGATAAAATAAAGAATTCTAAAAATATAATTGGGGACATTTCCTCCCTGGTCCCCAAACAGTCTCTTGCTGAAACCTGCAGTACTTTGTGTATCACAAAGCATAGTTCCAAAAGTGTGATTTAATGAGGAGAAAGCGGTATGGACAAAGGGCAGCAAGACATAAAGCTTAGCAAGCCTAAGGAGTGAGGGTGGAGAGCAAGGCCAAGAGCGATCAATTCCTACTGCCTCTCGGGGAGAAGATAAAGTGACCAACCAAGAGGAAAGCCTAACCTGCAAATTTAAATATATACTTTATATCTTTTCCTGAGTTCTGTGCTGTTTGTTTCTCTTGCAGTAAAATCAATGATTGCACCCAGTGAGATGAGTGCAATGTTGAATCACTAAACGAATATATTTTGGATTAGATGTCTGTCTTTACTCAGTACAAACATTTAAGCCCACATTTAACTTTAACCTTTCTATACAAGGTAGACTGTGGAATCTCATCCTGTGTAAATAAGGGATTTATCTTGTAGCATCCGAAAATCAAATAAGGCACTCAGCTTCTAGCCAGTGATTAGTTTATGTTGTGTGCATTAAAAAAACCTATATTTTGATTTAGGTTTATTTCCAGTGAAGCAATATTCATCAGTCGAATATGAAGAATATCATCAGAATTTACATTACTTCTAAAACTGCAATGGCTTTTTTTAATGCTTCCTCTGGAGTTGACTGTCTTGTCATCCTGTGGATTTCCAGCTCAGTGCCTTACAGAATTTGACAAAAAGCCATGTTTCTCTGCATATGGCATACTGTCCATTTGATTCCTGCTAATGATGAGTCTTTATCAATTCCATGTCCAAATTTATATCTAATTAATCAGTTAACTGATTTTGAACTTCTGGTTGCTTCTTCATGGGCTGCTTTTGCTAAAGTCTCACAGCAATTTCAATTTTCTTTCATTGGTGCAAGGACTTCAGTTTTAGAAATAAAGCTGAATAAAAAAAGGAAAAGTTTGCATTTCTGAGCCAGATTAATGTGTTGTACTTATTGTGTAGTTTATTTAAGAAACTGTTGTCTAGACTCCAACTACTGCCAAGTACTGCTTCTAGAATATTAAGCTTTGTATGACGCTTACTCAGCATGTCATTTCAACTTTTTGGTGTTTTGCTGCCTCCTTGTCAAATATCAGCTTGCCTTAAAAGCACTTTAATGCCTTGAAGATAATGAACAACTTGGCAGCAAAAATATTTTCTGGCTGATTTGGAGCCCCTGCATAAACTACTTGGCGTCTGAGATCATTGAAACCTATTATACTGGCTATTTTAAAATTAGGATTTATTTCTGTTTGAATTTTGAAATCTCTCTCCTTGGGAGAGCCATTGAAATATAAACGTGTATTTTCCTCTTTAACAGTAGCTTATGGGCTATAATGATAGAACATTTTTGCATTTTTATGTTTAGTTTTATTGTAAAGAGCCTTGGGATGCATTTGCATGAAAGGCACTATATAAGCTCATTTTGTATTGCATTGTATTGTATTGTGACAAGTGCAATAATCTCCAGGTTTCCTATCCATTAAAGAACTAATTTCACAGCTCACTAATTATGTGAATGAGAAAGGGAAATAGGTCCTTTTTCTCTAAGGTATGCTGAGCAGATGGCATAACATTCATTTCCACCAGCTGAATCTAAGGTCCTCTCTTGCTTTTGGTTCCAAGGCTTGCCTCTGTTTGTCAGACAGAACAGGAGAGAGATCTTGGTTTCTTGTACAGCATGACAGTGTGTACTGAGAGACTGTCTCTGTCCTTTGCCAATGCGACATTAGGTAGCACATACCAGGTCTAAACATCCTGTTTATTTAGGGTGGGACATGAAAACTATTAAAATGAGTGTGCATTTTAATGTAATTCTAATTTACCTCTGATTTATCGAAGATACTGGTTAGATCTGTCCTAGGGATTTAAACTGATTCGCATAATAAAGTTATTAATGAATCAGTTGAGTACCTTTGGGACTGTATCTATCTATAATTTCAAAACAGAAAAACATTATTTCCTTAGCCTGTGCACTTTCCATCATAGCAAAGGTTTTGCTACCTTGCTAGTATTTTCTTTTATTTTCTTTTGCCTGACTCATAAAAATAACTAACTTGAACCAAACATGCATACAGTGATTTATAGCCTCCTAATGCACTGCTTTTTTTAAAGTAACATGAGTCGTCAGAAGTACCAGTGTTCTCCTGTGATCCTGAAAATTTGATATTTGGGCCCTTATTTCAGCCTTAAAGAAAAGCTGAGACTGAAGGTCCTGACGCAACTTATGTAGGACTTGGCAATGAGGCCGCATTTTAAAGTGCTACACAAGCAATCAGATAATTTTCTCCCTTTAACATAACGAACAGCACTAATTTGTTGGTTCCGTCTCTTACTGCTGGGCTCTCCCATGTGTTTGTTTTGTGTTCATCATTCTGATTTCATTCTTGTTTCAGACGGACGCGGCACTGATGTATGATGCAGTTCACGTGGTGTCAGTGGCTGTCCAGCAGTTCCCACAGATGACTGTCAGTTCACTGCAGTGTAATCGCCACAAACCCTGGCGCTTTGGGACCCGCTTTATGAGTCTTATTAAGGAGGTAAGTCACTAATAAAGTGTCCTGTTTCATTGCTTTCCTTTCTCATGACTCCCATTTTCTTTTGTTTCCACTCTGTTTGAATTCTGCCTTTTTTTTTTTTTCAGTAGATGGGAATCTCTCAGCTTGTTATGTGTAAGGTTTAGCAGGCAAGGCAGCGTTTTTATTTGAAAGTGGGTTTGCTTGAGCTGTTAATTGGAACAAAGAAAGATAAAAGGGTGAAATAACTGCATTCTAAATAAAACTTTTGTTTGTAGATAGTTGAAGGGGGGAAGTTTGTTTGTGGAACATTTGTGGCATAAAAACCCAAACCCCTGAAACCGAAACCCATAGACTGACTATGAAAAATTCAGCAACTAAATACTGGCATAATTTCAAAAGGGCCAAGAATGAAGTTTACTCCCTGATTTTAATTTTCTCTCTCTTTATATATATTTTTTTTTTTTTTGCTATGCTGAATTAATGTATGTGGCCTTATATGTCTCCTAGTATGCTGTTTAGATACTGATAGTGATTAAAGTAAAACTAGGAGATTTGAGGTGCTAAAGGTGAACACTGTAGAACATTCAAGACTATTGTACTGTAAGTAACTCTTAATACAGTATTTCTCATTCTAGATATGCAAAATTCTATGGTAAAGAGAACTATTTGCAATGGAATATAATCCTGTTTTTAATATTGGTCCCTTTAGGATGATAATTTTGTTTTCCACATTCCCTCCTCTACTTTAGTAAAGTTTTAGAACTAGGTAGACTTTAAGTTATAAAAAAATGAGGATATTGCACTTTATTAAAAGTAATGAATCGATTCTGGAAGACTGGCTTAGTGACCTCAATTTTTGCTGTCTCAGTGTGGTTGCAGGGGACTTGGCTTCTGTCAAAAGTAACCCTTTATTTGAATGAAATTTCCTGACAGAAAAATGAAATCCAGCATTAATGAAAGAGATTGAGGCGAAGGCGGGGGGAAGGCGCAGCATGTAGGGAAGAAGGGGAAATGCATGCACGAATGACAGAGGAATGAAAACAAACCAGCCTTTTATCTCATTTAGTAAGAAGAGTATATTGGCTGGCATGGAAAGTTGTTTAAAAAATTGCCTGTGAAAACTGAAGAAAGGTTGATTTAATTAGCAAAAAGTGAATATAAATTAAAAAAAAATCAGCCATAAGGTAAATTATTTAGATAGAATGAATAATTAATGTTCCCGTTTTGGCAGACTTAAAACTTGTTCTTTTGGGGCAAAAAAAAGAAAGAGGTACTTATTTATAGAAATTGTTTTTTCTTTCTCCATAGGCCCACTGGGAAGGCCTCACAGGCAGGATAACTTTCAACAAAACCAATGGCTTAAGGACAGATTTTGATTTAGATGTTATCAGCCTCAAGGAAGAAGGTCTTGAAAAGGTGTGTAAGATGTTTACCTCCAAAGTAATGGCAAACAAAACAAAACCCCACCCCCTAAAACCAGTAGCATTTTCAATAACATTTCATGTGTTACGTAGAACAATATACCTGTTCTCAACTTGATACTGGTTTCAAAATCTTCTAGTAAAAGCTGTTGTCTTGATGTCTGACAGTTAGTGGCCTCTTAACAGTGTGCTTCTAGCCACATTGTTAGATTCAAGAGGACTGGGAATAGCTGGGCCTGGAGTCATGCAATAATATACTTTGTCTTCAATCTATATTAAGTTTAATTTGTGATTCCAATCTCAGTGCCTGTCCTCATGTGTGAACCTGTGGATATGTGTATTTGTATTGTTTTTACATCTTACTAATTCAGGAAGAATTACCTCAAACAAAATGGAATAAAATAGCTTCATTTGGGCAATTTTCTGTGTTTTAAGAGGAAACTTTGATTCTCTTCTTGGAATACAAAGGTTTTATCTGTAAGTGGTACTAAAAAATTAAGAACAGGTAGCCTGACAGGTTTGTCTGTCTTCTGACATGAATTTTTCTTGTTCAAAGATGGAGTGAAAGACCAAGGAGTGAGAAATGCCCTTTCTGTGTAGCCTAATATTGTCTGTATTTGAACTAACAGCCTTAGGAAGCGTGTATAGATATTTGACCTGCCTACATGACACCATGATGATCCAAAATCAGATCATCTTCCCTTCTCTTCTCCAGCCACCCTGCCATGGAGAGGCAATGCAGGAAGCTGCAGTGTCTCACATTGTTGTGGTCAGCAGACAAAGATTTTCCAGTTTGCATCTGCCTTGTATTTTGTATTTAGTTGTGGTGTTCAGTGTTCTGTAAGCACTATGTTTTCCTTCACCTTCAGATAAAGTTTTGTCAGCTGCTGCCCCAAGGTGATCTTGTGGCCATAGATAAACAAAGACATTAACGGAAGGCACTATATTTCAGAGTTGCATTTCCTTTCTTCTATGAGTCATTGAATGAAGAAGCTAGCATAAACAACAAATTTCTCCAAAACTTTCACCCCAATGCTAGTTTTGGAATATTAATGTTGTCTTACTAGGAAGATTTGTTTTAAAAAGCTGTCTCAAAGGTTTTGTTTTTCTTTCCCAACAAGGTTGTCTTTTGTTGAAGCTGTGATGAATCCCTCTCCCTTCTCTCAGTCCCCTACTTCCCACCCTCCACATGTTCGCTCCATCTCTCTGTGTCACA